TGAGTAAATCACTTTTAGAATTTCAACTTCGTCTCTTTGATGAATATAGACAATCAATTGAAATAAATCAACAAACAGAACAATCATCATCGGATTCTTCTTCAATACAGGAAATATCTGATAAAAAGAAACAATCAAAATTAGAAAGAAGAAAAAAAAGAGATGAAAAGAAACATGAAAAACAATCACTTGCAGATAAAGTTAAAAAAGATAATTCAAAGAAATTAACAATTTATAAAGATAATGTTAAAATTATGAAGAGAAAGAGAAAGGAATTATTAAAAAACAAACAAGAACAATTATTAGAATTATTAAATAAAAAATAAATTATAATAATATAATATAATATAATTAAATAAAATATTAAATTAAATAAAATAAATAATAAAAATATTTATTTTAAAGTATATAAATCTTCCTTCCTAATATGTAACATACCACCTTTCCATTTACCAACAGCACCACCTTTACCATATTTAGATTTAATAGCAGCAACACCAATTTCATTAGGAGCACCATGTTTAGCATAAAATTTTCTAGTTTGTGAAGATTTACGTTGTTGTTCCATTAATCTCTTTTTTCTTAATTGTTTTTTATCTAAAATTCCATTTTTAATCATTTCTCTAGTTTCAATTCTTTCCATTTTTAATTCTTTTTGTTTTTCTTGTTTAAATTCTTTATAATTAACATATTTAGACTTTTCATTTAAAGAAGATACATCTTTACCTTGTTGTCTATATTCTTCTTTCATCATTTGTTTAATTTTAAATTTTTGTTTTTCTGATAATTCTTGATTTGTAACCATATTTCCATTTTGGGATTTGTTAAATGTTTGATCATAGACAAATTTTTTCATTTCAAATGTTAATTGATCCATTTCTTTTTGTAATTCATTCTTTCTAGATATATATCTATTATTTTCAATATCAAAGGCTTCACCTTTACGTGTATGTTTAATATCTTGAGAATATTCTTTTAATTTTTCCATATATTTGGAATGTTCTAATTGTTTCAATTCCTTCTTTTCACGTATTGTTAAGGCTATTTGTTTTTCTTTACCATCTAATGATGAATGTTTGTTATTAAAATTTATATTATTATCATGATTGGATGATGCAATATCATATGGATTTTTAATAGATTCTAAATTGACTAGAGAGGAAAATTTAATAATTTTAGGCTCCGATACTAAACTAGCCTTGTTTTGTTGTTCTTCAATTATTGAAGAAGGCTTTTTGTTAGAGGAAGGCTTGTTGTTAGAAGCCTCTGATGCTTGTTGTAAAATTGGTAATAATTTAATTGGTTTTTGTTGTGTTGATGATGATGATTTGGAGGCTATTTGGGATTGATTTACTACTCCACTACTTCCTCGTTGTTGTTGTTGTTGATGTCTACTACTCTTATTTGATGAAACTGCTGGTGACATTTTATTCAATTATTCAGCTATTATTATTATTTTGAAAATCATCAGTTAATTTGTTGAACAAAATATTCACAATATTAAACACAAAATCCAATGTGGATTATTACTACTAATGTTTGAAAGCAAAGTCAGCCTGTGCTTTTAAACCAAATATTACATAATAATACTAATTAATATTATTATTATTAAATATTATATGAATAACAATTAATTGATATCAACAAAATAATAATGATGATGATAATGATAGTGGTGTTGTATTTAAATCTACTAGTCATATTCACACTCTATTGATGATGTGATGTACAATTGTTCATAGTAACACACCACCACCATCACCATATCATTATCACCTTAATATTTTCATCCATCACATCATCATCATTTGATGTCACATTTAAAACCTTAATAATCAACACTATTGAGATGTAATTCTATTAATTCATTATCAAAAACAATATGTTATCTAGATTATATATTAATACTGTTATTAAATCATCAGCATCAGCATCATCATCTTTTAGATTTATTAAATCTCATAATAATATTTTAAATATTAAATATTTTTGTAATATTAATAATAATAATATAAATACTATTCAATATAGTAGTACTATCAAATCATCAATTAAAATAGATAGTCTATTATTAAATATTAAACCATCAATATTCAATCGTTTACATTCCTTATTAGGAGATGTAGTTCATCCTAAAATAGTAAAAATATTAATAAATAATGAATCATTTAAATATTTAAATGAAGATGATTATGAATATAGTCCAAGATTTTCATCATTAATAACAAATCTAAATGATATTTTATACAGTGAAATTATTCAATTAAATTTATCTAAAGATGTAATTATTAAATTATTAAGTTCAATATTTAATATTAAATTATGTGATAGATTATTAAATGTTGAAATACCAATTGAATTATTACAATATTGTACAATTGATGAACATTCAAATACATATAAATTACCAAAAATATTTACAAGTTGTTTATTTAAATATTTTATTAAAAATTTTGATATTAAAAATGAATTTAAAAGTAAATTATATCAAAAATATAATATATTGGCATATTTTACTGAACATCATTCTTCACTTGCTTTTAAACCATTTGAAATAACAGAAACACTTCTTACACAAGCAAAATTAATTTGTTTAAAAGAAAATAATAATCAAATTACTTTACAAGATTTAAATATTAATAATAATAATAATAATAATAATAATAATTTAAATAATAATAATTTAAATATTAATAATTTAAATATTAATAATAATAATAATAATAATTTAACTATTGAAGAAGTATTTAGAGTTGTTACAAAGATTTGTAAAGAAAAAGAACAATACATTCCAAATATATTACAATTATCAAGTAAAGTAAATCAGGAAGGAATTGATGCAATACAATGTACTGAAAATGGAAAGATTATAGCTATTCAATATAAATATACAACCATAAATAGAACATTATATTGTAATGATATTGCTAAAATTTATGAAAAATTTGAAAAGGCAATTGTTCAACCTGATGATGATGAATCATGCAAAGGTTTAAGTAAAAATCATTCAAAGAACATGTAACATGTGTAATTATTACTAATTGTAAAATATCAAAGAAAGCAATGGAAGAAATTAAAAATGGTAAATTTAGTAATTTAAAAGTTGAAAAACCAACTTTGAATGAAGCATTTGGTGAGGGAGTTACCAAGTTTTGTCAAGATACTAATAATCTCTAAATTGTTTTAATAATAAACCAGATTATTCATAATAATAATAATATTATTCAGCTATTTTGTTGAAGTCAAAGCCTTCGGAAAGCCTTTCCATCATTCGTGAGGTCTAACTCTAATTCCTTCCAATACGAATAAAAAAAAATGTCCAACAATAACAACGACAAGGCTTCTACTACCAACAACAACAAGCCTTCATCATTATCTAATACTGTAACAATTGATGACGATTCTAATAATAATAATAATAATAATAATATTACTAGTACAAGTACTATTAAAAAATCATCAAATATTGGAATGTTAACAAGAGAAGAAAAACAAAGTTTTGAAGAATTAATTGATTTTTGTTCACATAATAATGAACAAGTTCGTATAACAGGATTATCAAATTTATTAAAATTTTTAAGAATTGAAGAATATTTAAATAATTTAAGATTTACAATTAGAGTATTAGAAAAATGTATTAAAACACTTGTTAATTTAACAAGTGATAAATCACATTTTGTATCAAAATTATCAATTTCATGTTTAATTTTATTATCACAAGATGAATCAACTATATTTTTTAATGAAATGGTTAAAAATGATTTAATTCAAATTTTAATGAATATTTTTATTAAAATGGAAAGAAGAGAATTAAATAATGAATTAAATCAAAATGATAAAGATACATTAGAATGTATTTTATTATTATTATCAAATTTAACTTCAAATTCTGAACAAGCAAGATTAAAATTTTTAAATATGAAAACAATTGAAGAAACTTTAAAAAAATTAAAAAAGGCTAATTTAAAATCTAATGATTCAGATGATTCAGATGATGATTCTGACACTGAGTCAGATTCTGATTCTGATTCAGATAATTTAGATGAATTAAAAGAATATAATATAATGAAATTAATTAATTATTTTAATAGACCAATGAATGAATTAAAAATATCATTAATATCATCACATTTAATACCTACTATATTAGGTAATTTAAGTGTAAATGATCATGCTAAATATATAATTGTAAATAATAATTGTAATATATCATATTTACATTTATTATTATTTAAAAATAATAATTTAGATTTATTAAATAATTTAGATATTCAACAAGATAAATGTTTAAGAAGAAGATCAATTTTAGCAATTTTAAAAAATTGTTTATTTAAAAAAAATTTAATTCCAAATATAATTTATGCAAATGATACAAATTTAAATTTATTTGATTTATTATATTATCAATTAAATTCTAATTTTCCTATTTTTATTCAACAATTAACTATTGAATGTTTACAATTAATTTCAGATTTACCTTTTGGTTTGGAATATTTACATCCATATTTAGATAAATTAATTGAATTAAATAATTCAAATTTAGATCAAATTATTCAAGCAATTCAAACTAGAAATTTAGTTAAACCTGGTACTTTAATTAAAATTGATGAAAATGGTCAAATGATTAATTTAAATACTTTTAATGAAGATTTACAACAACATGAACATAATATTAATAATATTAATAATAATAATAATAGTCATGGTAGTAGTCATGGTGATGATAATGATGGTAGTGGTGGTAGTGGTGAAAAGAATTTTGATGATTTGGATTAATCATTTTAATAGATTTTAGACTTTTGATCATTTAAAAGCCTTTGTGTTTAAATGAAAATACATGAAACAACAATTAAAACTATTCAATAAAATTTCAAATTAGTAACATTCTTATTCTTGTTATTGTATTAATTAATTGAAAAGATCTAATTAGTCATGATGTAAGTTAAAATGAAAATACAAAATCTATTGTAAACTAAAGCCACTTGAATGTTGTTGTGTTGTTGGTGGAGGCTTGATTAAGCTCGCTCCTATCAAAAAAGTTTTTCAACCTTGACGGAATTAATAAAATATTTTAAAACTTGAAAAAAAATGTCTAGATCAAGAGTTTTCTTTGATATTACCATCGGTGCTGCCCCAGCTGGTAGAGTTGTCTTTGAATTGTACAATGATATTGTCCCAAAGACTGCTGAAAACTTCAGAGCTTTGTGTACTGGAGAAAAGGGATTCGGATACAAGGGTTCTATCTTCCACAGAGGTATGTTATTTTAATATTATTATCAAGCCTTTATTAATCTAAAATTATTTATATCAACCAACCAACCAACACTACTTGCTAACCAACAATAATATTAATAATAATATAATATTAATAATACAATCATGTAAATAGTCATTAAAGATTTCATGATTCAAGGTGGTGATTTTACTAACTTTAATGGTACTGGTGGTAAGTCCATCTATGGTACAAAGTTTGAAGATGAAAACTTTAAGGAAAAGCACACCATTCCAGGATTGTTGTCAATGGCTAATGCTGGTAAGAATACCAATGGTTCCCAATTCTTCGTTACTACTGTTCCATGCCCATGGTTGGACGGTAAGCACGTTGTTTTCGGAAAGGTTGTTGAAGGTTATGAAATTATTAAGAAGATTGAAGGATCAAAGACTAACCAACGTGATACTCCATTGTCTGAAGTTAAGATTGCTGATTGTGGTGCTTTGTAAATTCAATAATAAATTAACTTGAATTTTAAAATTCTCATCTTTTTGATTATGAATATCTTGAAATGTTGAACCTGTTCTCACAATGAAAGGCAAGTTGAATTTTTGCATTAAAAGTCTCTGCTTATCAACAAGTGAAATGTCAAGATTGGAGAGTGGATTACTCTTGACTGGATTGTTTGTTCCCAACATGACTCCTCCACTCGATCCACAATCTTCATACTCTCCAATATCGCCAGGTAATTGAATGAATTATTCTTATCCAAAGTACATCTTCTGGGATTGTTAGTTATCAAATCGAATGAACAACATTAAAGGAAGATTTTCTGCTCCTCTTCCAGTTTCCTCCAAACCATTTTAATAACCAAGAACTAATCATGAAGGCAGGAGGAGAATCAGAAGGCATACCCAATTTGCAAAGATGATTAAAAACAATTTAGTAAAGAATTATCAAGGCGGCCTATCAAATAGTTATTTATGCAAGAGACAAAAACAACTTACATTTATTCACAAGGCAACAGAGTAATAGAAATGTGTGTAGGTGCGTATTCATTTTCCATTGTTGATCTTCTAATGTGATAGTTTCTTGATAAAGTATTGTTAGACATTTATTAAGTTCTTCGTTGATAGTCGGTGTGTATACTAGCAATTTAGAAAATAGTAGCAACACATAACAGATGTATATACAATGCAAATAAAATAATATAATGGAAAGAATAAATACTGATAGAAAACTTAAAGTTTCACCTCGGATCGTAAAAGTTTACCATAGTGCAAAAATGTTATGCTATTCAAACTTAACAGCGGATAAATATTCAGTTATAGACTTAATCAAAATATACAATGAACCATTACCAAGCTAAATGTATCCAGCTGATGCGTACCTCAAAACACAACTTAGACTAGTTTCAATTTGTTGTTGCCGTTTTCATAACTGCACCTCATATACAAGTTTGAAAATAGTAGTGAATATACTTGACAATAATAACGGTAGCAGTGAACTTGGTGAGTTTTAGATGTTCGTGATATTACGTGGTCTACTGAAGCAGAAGCAGAAGCAGTAGTGGAGTGTACTACAGTTTCTGGTTGGCTCTTGACAATAGGATCCTGCTTCGCTTCTTGATAATATTCGTATATTATACTCACCAATCAAGGCCTTCCTATAATGTACAAATTGTTGCAGAGGAGTCTTGTAAAAGAGTAAACGAACTGTCCTTTCTCTCAGCAGATGCCAATTTCGTACACATTCTCCAACCCTCTAACAATTGACTTGAAATACGAATCCTTCAATCGCTTATTATTAGACATAGGGGTGAATCAAACATCGGGATATTCGACATTCTTTTCTTCTATGAATTTCACACCTTAGAAGAATCTCTTTTTTACAAAATCCAGTGCTAACAATAGACCTTCAGCTTTCAATAAAATAAAAATAATGGCTCAAAATTGAGTCAATGTTGAATGCTTAGTGAATTATTCAAGTCAGTTAAAATGTGAAGGAGAAAATTGAAAATTTAATTAATTACAAAGCGCTCTGACAAGAGTATTTTCAAAATCTTCCTCAGGAGAAATTAATTTCAAACGTGATGATAATGTAAAATTGTTCACTTTTCATTTGAGTACTTTCTCAATAAAATAGATATTTCTATTAATAAATTCATTTAAAAAAAAATGGCTTCAAATAATACTCCAACCACTCCAACAACAATAACTATTACTGATCGATCAACTGATGATGAAACTATTAATACCAATACAAATAATAATACAAATAATAATGTAAAATATACAAAATCATCAATATTCCGATCAGTATTATCATATTATTATCAAGCCCATCAACAAGTTAGATATTATTTACCATATTCAAATAATTTTTTAGCCTCTAAAATAACTGATAATTTATATTTAGGAGATATAAATGATGCAATGAATGTACCTGAATTAAAAAATCATAATATAACAAATATAGTAACTTGTGTAAAATCATTAGAACCATTTTATCCTAATGAAGGATTTTCATATTTAAATTTACATTTATATGACATGTCAGATGAACAAATAGATCATACATTTGATGAATCATTTAATTATATTGATAAATGTTTAAATAATAATGAAAATGTTTTAATACATTGTATGAAAGGTAAAAGTAGAAGTGCTTCCATTTTAATTGCATATTTAATGAGAAAAAATCAATGGTCTTATTTTAATACTTTACAATTCGTTAAACAAAAAAGAAATATTGTACAACCTAATACTGGTTTTGAATTACAATTATTACATTATGAAAATAGATTAAAAAATAATAATTATTATCTTTAATATTTAATATTTAATTTATTAATTAATATTAGTATTATTATTTAATTTAATTAATATTATTAATTTAATATTTAATTTAATTAATATTATTAATTTATTATTTAATGTAGTGTAAATATACAAATAAAATGTTTATTCTTTGTTTAAAAATTTATTATTAGTGTGTCAACTAGATTTTCAAAGATATTCTTGTGTTTTAAACTCAACAATATAGTTTTAGTAGTATTAGATGCACTTCTTCAAAATTAGTAAGAGCACCATGTAGTAGTAGCAACAGATTCCATTATACAATATATCATCTCTATTGAACAGCTGANATATAGCCATAGAGATATTGAGCTCTAACATGTTAATCTTTCTCTTTTGATA